GAATCCTGCAGAGTTGCATCGTAACTTTTTTCAGAGCCCGGGACAAATCGGATTCCTCGGTCAGCATCACTGGCACGTTACTTATAACGCCGTATAATTTTTCAACACGAGAGGATGATTTAGGCATTTTTCTCTTTCATTATTACAGTCTGTTTGCTGTAGGAAATGATTTTTCGGAGGTATAACACTACAAAAAGCAGGGCAGTTTATAAAGTATTGAGTATAAGAGGGGGGTGAACAGCTGCGAGGTGTATTTTTGCAGCTTTCTTACAAAAACACGCTGTGACGGAAACATATGCTAAGCTTTGATTTATCTCAAACAAATGCTGTTTTGCCACCTACAGAATTACCCCTAATAAATAACTCAAGGACATCTGTTGTCTTATGGGCCTCCTTTGAAACTAAATATCAAGTCAAGTCTTACTTTCTCCTATTTTACTCTATTTTATATACAAGTCACTACTATGTTTTCTATGTACCATTTGTTTTATTCACTATATAACATTACAAACATAATCATTACCCTGTCTTTATTTTTTAGATTCATCTATCAGGGGGGAGAACAGCTGTGCCCAGTGAGGATGCAGGGAGGGGGTATGGGAACCTGAGGGGGTGAACTTTTGACCTGGGAGGGGATGAATTTACACCTATGGTGGGAGGGGTGGTGGTGACCTTTGACCTGGAAGAGGAGGGAGGCTGGGGAAAGGAATTTACACCTGTGGTGGGAGGGGGAGGGAGGGGTGAACTTTCACCTAGAACTGTCAAATCGAGTTTGATGAAAGCTGGTATCTATACTGTGTGTAGTGATTTATGATGTGGCTTTCTTTAACCTCATTACTCAGCCGGTAACTATTAGTTAATTGTTAAAATCTTTTCTACTTCATAATTAAGGTACTTGGAATTTATACACAGTAAAACATGGCAAGGCAAGGCAAGTTTATTAACACAGCACATTGTGATACACAAAAGCTATTCAGTGCACAAATAGAGAAAACATTAAAATGCACACAAAATGCAAAACAGTAGATAAAACATTAATATTCAGATTTGATTAAAACATTAATTGCAAATTAAAAGCAACAATTACATGATAGCTGGTGGAGGCACTTTGTACCAAATTTGTACAAATACAGCATGCAAGGCTGCCCACAGAGGCTTTGTTAAATTAGAGTGTATGAGGGATAGGGACTGAATTCAGGACAAATCTTTATCATGGTTTGCAGTGCTTTACACTTATGAAAAGAAACAATTATGATAGCCACCCTTTAAAAAGTGATATTTCCCTTACTTATTTTGTCTAACTTAATCAAACTGAAATACAGTGAGCTGCTCAGCTTTTCTGACCCCCAAATTACAAGTAGCTTATTTAAGATGTGTTGATATCAGGCTTTAAAAAATGAGTTAGATCCACTAATTATTTTTAATTAAATCCCCTGTTGCCATTTACAGTTGAATGATTTGTACTTGTCTAATGGTCTTACTGGGGATGCCAATCTGGAGTGTATTACAGTAGTCTACCCAACTGGAAACTAATGCGCTTTTCTAACTCCTGCTTAGAAATAATGTCTCTCATTTTAGCTGTGCTTAAGATGCCAGAATGATGATTTTGTTACAGCTTTGATGTGGCCATTAAAATTTAAATCCTCATCAATGATTACACCAAGATTCTTGACACAGGCGTTTTTAGTTTCTTGTACTTGACCACCAGCCTTATTTCTCTATTTCAAAAAAGAATTATTTTTGTTTTGTCTGTTTAGTTGAAGGAAATTTGTTGCATCCATTTGTTTACTTTTCAAGACATATACATTATAAGTCTATATAACCATATTTGGTGAGAGCATTAAATATACAGTATCTGGGGGTCATCCTTGTAGCTATGATAAGCAATTCTGCATTACTGGAAAATTCAAAAAGTGGAAGCATGTACTGGTTGAATAGGAGGAGACCAAGAATCAAGCCTTGTGGCACCATACATCATGGCACTTCTTTCAGATTCATTATTACAGATATTGATTGGCAACATATCCCCTATATGATCTGAGCTACTTGAGGATGGTTCCCAATAGCCCAATCCAGTTTTCAGTTTCACCTAGAAGTAATTCATGATTCACAGTGTCAAAAGCTGCACTAAAATTTAATAATATCAAGACTGTTATATTCTCACAAATCATTATTTAAGTGAATCTTTATGAGAGCAGGTTCCGTGCTATGGTACCAGCAAAAATCTGATTGAAATCTATGAAGGTCATCAATTGTTTGCAAAAAGTGATCGATTTGGTTAAAAAACTACCTAACTCTGCTAACCCTTTTCATTAATCTTACTTATTAAGGTGAGATTTGAGATTGCCTGTAATTACCTAAAATTGAAGAGCCCAGGTTTCTCTTTGTCAGGAGGAGCCTTATACAGTAAGTGCAATTTTTAATGATGCTGGGAAGATGCTGGAAAGGAGTGAATTTACAATATACAACAAATCCATTGCCAAAGAGCTAAAAACATTTTTTAAGAAGCTTGTAGGTAGAATATCTAATGAGCAGGTAGACATTTTAAAATGCTACACTGTTTATTCTAGATTTTTGTTGTCAACCACAGTAAATTCAAACAAAAAAGCCATTCTTTTTATAGATGTCTCTGCTTAGCTGTGTGACTCTAAAATCCTCCATTGTCATTCTGCTTTTCTGCATTCTCTCTTCTGATATGCTACTGGTCCAGCATTTCCCCATGGGGTTGTTTGCTACAAATAACCTTAGTCCTAACAGGTGCTATTGCATCTATGATATTGAGTGTTTTGGATTTTAAATGATCAAATCCTACTTTTACCATTGATGAAGTAGACAGGGCTTCCATAAATACAGCAGTAGCATTATCATTAAGGTTAGACAATTTTAGATCTTGTTTGAGTGAGTGGGAAAACCAATGCCTCAAAAGAAAATGCAGACGTGTTCGGAAAAAACTAGATCCCCAGTATTCACAACAGGAGGAGGAGGCCCTTACTGATAACCAAATCTACTGTATGACCTCAAGTGTGAGTCGGGCCAGTTATATGCTATACTAGATCAAAAGTGTCAAATAAGGAAAGAAATTCTCAGTAGAAATAAGTACATATAATGTCTGTGTGATCTACTGTCCAGTCTACACAGATGAATTGGACAAATAAAAGCTCTTACTGTATGTTCACACAACAGAAGTTCTTACAGCATTTCCCTGAGTAGCAATACATTTTGAATAACAGACACACTGCAGCATTGACTTTTAATTTCATTTCAAAGCAGTGAGGCCTGGTTTATCAGTCATATTTGAACATCTGGAAATAATGATGGCCTTGAAACTACTTAATGTGTGTTAAATGCAATGTACAAAAATTTACATTTAGCCAAAACAATATAGCAAACGTGGCCATTGAATAGTGTGGTGGCAATTTTTATAATAGCACCCTTTAATTTCTTTTGGCAATATTTTCTTTTTCTTATATAATGCTTCCTTTCCCTTTAATTTATTTTCAAGTTCCTCAAATTTTTTACACTTAAAGAACCCCCATGGGGAAAATCCAATTCACGTGTCCATATGGCCACACTTTGGACACTTTTGTCACCATACTTTCCCCTCATTATGTCAATAATTGAACTCTCCGGAGGATCATCATCCTTACTCACCTTGTTCCCAATTGTCCTAGATGGGAGCTGTGCACAACTATAATTACCAGTACAAAACGGACGTCTTCATTAGGGTTCAGTCACTTATACCTTTTCTTGTGACCAGAACAGGACCTCAGTGTCCTCGCCTTAAACCCCGAATTGAGAACACCTACCTCAGTGCCACGTTTAAGTGGCACCTACATTCAGTACCATGGTTAAGTGACACCTACACTCCACACCTACTTTTATATAAGTACCTACCTCAGTATTCCCTCAGGAATATCTACCTCAGTATTCAAAAGAATATCTACATCACAAGACCCGGGATCATTAATTACTAACACAATAGTGGAATAGTTTCCCCAAATTTACTAATTCAACATTCTTCTCAATGTATTTAACCAATTTATTTAACACTCACCACAGAGAATAGTCTCTTTCCAAATGTTGGATACTTGGATCCCATCAGTGATGACCTAGGGCATCCTCTGACAGTCCCCAATCACTCAGAAATATGGATGAGGTTTGGGGCTGAGAAAATTGTTGTTCTCAGGCTGGCCAGGCCCTGTCTGACGGACGTCCTAGAGGACCACTCGAGGGATCCCATCCTCGTCACCAGAATTGTTGTGGAAAAATTATCTTGTTAAAGCTCAGTGAGTGTAAAATAAATACTTAACATCTCAGAATTATTACATATTTATTCCTGCAGGAAGGAGTGATCTTTGAACAGAGTGTCTAAACCAGTCTGTTGCAGGGAAGCTCAATGAACAGAATGTGACTGCCCTTCTTATACTCAGCAAACAACAAAGAAGACAGATGCTCAAACAGATAAAAGAAACAGGATACAATTTACAACAGGATACCAGCCCTTTGGTCCCAGGTTACATCTGGTTTGGCAACCATAAGGGTTTACAACCATGCAATAAATGATCTGGGGTCACAACCACACAATGGCTCCATACCATGACTTGAAAGCATCAGCTAAAGAACTTAAAAGGGTGCTATTATAAAAATTGCTGCCACAATACTTATCTCTTATCTTATTACTATTGCTTAATAAATATCAAATGGGATATTGGGAACAATAAAGACATCTTTCTGAAATACTGTGGATACACATAGCTACTTAACCTAATGGATTTGGGCTGTTTCTTTGATATATTCCAACATAACAGACTGAGATAGAGCTACACTACCAGTCAAAGGTTTAGACATACTTTCCCATTCAATTCAGTGTGAAAATGTGCCCAAACATTTGACTAGTAGTCTACTTTAAACACTGAAATTTTCCAACCTTGTCTTGAACTCTCACAGAAAGATGTATGTATTTTTTTTTTAATTCTTTTTGTCTCTGTGTCTGTTTTCAGGATGATTCCCATGACTAACAGAGCCTTTGTAGTTACAAATCTTGTCCCAGGGATGCAGTATGACCTGTGTGTCTTGGCCATCTGGGATGACACTGCCACCACCCTCACTGCTACCAACATTGTTGGCTGTGTCCAGTTCATCACCAGGGAGGACTATGCTCACTGCCAGTCTCTTCACAGCAGCTTCCTGGGTGGCACCATGATCCTGGTCATTGGAGGCACCATTGTGGCTACTTTATTGGTCTTTATCATTATCCTTATGGTGCGCTATAAGGTCACCAGTAGCATCCAGACTAATAAATTACTCAATGTGAGCAACACGTACTCACAGACCAGTGGGGGGTTGAACAGGTTCAGTGGCGCCCCACCACAGGTCAAGTCCACATTGGTGGTAATGCAGGAGGAAATGGTAGAGTTCAAGTGTGGATCCCTCCAGAGCAGCCTCTCCTCCTCCTCTAACTCATTAGACAGCCAAACAGGAAGTCACAGCATGCAGGGCAATGAATGCAACACCTTGCCCAGCAGCAAGTTCAGGAGGCATGGGCACAGTGCCAAAGCACGGCCAAACCTGGACAACCTTTTAGGGGCCTTCACCTCACTGGAGCTGCAAGGAGTTGCAAGGGACCACCAAGGGACTTCTGGTCCCTCCATCACTTCCAGTGCTATGATGACGGTGACTATGGCACCCCTGTCCGATAAAGAGCCCCTGCTAGGAAGAGCTGAGTCCACCACCATGTTGGGACGTTTCCTAGGGCAGCCCCAGGAGAGTAAGCCCAAGAGGAGCCATTCGTTTGACATGGGTCATGTAGCTACTGCGACACAATGCCGCAGTAGCTACCCTCATAGGATTAGTAACATCTGGACTAAACGCAGTCTGTCTGTTAATGGAATGCTGCTGCAGTATGATGACAGTGAGGATGAAAAGCCCACTTTTGCAAGCTCTGAGTGGGTGATGGAAAGCACAGTTTGAGTACAGTCGGTCTAACTCTGAGGTCCATGGCCAAACAGTAAATTTATATCAGGAACTAAAAAACATGAGTGCAGAGGGAGGAATATTCAAGAAGGAAACTGTCATTGGGTATTGCATGAAGTTCAACCATGTGAATACTGTCTAAGTATTTATGTGCAAAAAGACACAAATGGATAGATTGCTGGTCATAATCTTGACTCTCTGACAGTCTAACTATATTTGAAATATTTTTCCCATTTGAAGCAACACGGAATCATGGAGTGTGCAGATAAATTCCCTGTATGGAATAACTCCCAATCCACAGGGCAGGTGAGAGTAGCTCAGAGAAATAGGAACGAAAAGAAAGATGTGAAATTTGATGTGGATTTACTGCATCTTTATCAAATGAACTGAATGCCAAAAGGACTGTGGTGAACTGCATCACAATGTCATGGATCCTCAGCATGAAATGAGACTACTGCAACAGTAGAGAGAAGGACCTGAGGAGTGAATAGAAAATTAAAGTCATTTTTATTTTCATCTCAATTTTCTATTATTTTTACTATTTATTATTTTAGGTGAATCATCAACAGGCTGAGCTTAGGTTGTAGTTCAGTGTTGATCAAACAGGCAGACAAGCTACAATATCCCTTCACAAACAACCATTTCCTATCATTTAACGTTACTTTCATTACTTTCACTAACCAACTTTCAGTCAATTGTAATCTGACGAGGATTCTTTTTAAAATGGCAGTGTGGTCCTGTGTTTGATATCAGTAGCAATGAAACAAACAAATCAGTCTTGTATTTCTACCTCAGTTTCCATATCATATGAGGTTATTTGAACATGAATGGTAATAAAACAAAACCCAAATGCACAAGATGGATCACAAACAGCTCAACACACAAAGTCCCTTACTTCTTTGCAGATGCTTCAAATAGTAATTTATTAAATCTTTATCAAATCAAGTATGTTTCTAGCTCAGGTTGAAATCCTGCTGTGACAAAATGTCCAATTGAATGTTTTAATACTCTCCCCATTGGTTAATGCTGGCAACAAGTGGTCCCTGGAGACTAAAAGGCCATTGATGTTAACAGAGCATTTCCCCCAGTGCAGTTTCAGATGCTATCAGCACATATTACAGTAGCCAGACATGAATGGTCTTTGAAATCCATCAGGCCCACTTCATCATTTGTTTAAACTCACAGCAGGGATGTGTTATGTGGCTGTAATTCAACACAAACGAGAGAGTAGAACAGTTGCTCATTTAGTCAGGTTAAGTGGTGGAATTAATCCAAATCAACTTTTATTAGTAAGATAAAGGAGGGCAGGTTAAGTGGAAGAATAAGGAAGAAGGGATTATTGAGGATCAAACAGCTCAAAAACTCACTAGAAAACTATTTGCCAAATTGTATAATGCAGAACTTGCTTTGGTTCATTTCATCAGAGCAATCATTTATTTTCCATTCTCTTTCATACAAAGCTGTGAGTTAAAGTTAAATACTCTGAATTAGTGGCATCCCCAGAGACATCCCCACACATTTTGACATCTTTATCAATATCCCATTGGCCTCTGCTGCATTTCAAGATGTGGACTGGTCATCATTTTTTATTATTATTTTCTTCCCTTGGTGTACTGTTCTGTATATTGGCATTTTATTTTGTACAATAACTGTGTGAGGTGGGGGATATTGTGCAGTAGTACTTTTATTTTCATGTGAAGCAAACAGTGAGAAGGTGCTTTACTGTTCGTGTACCGACTTGGTCATTGTTAGTTGGCTCACTGCACTGGGATTTTACATGTAAGAGAGAAATGGAGGATCAGCTCTTATTAAAAGGGTCAGCTCACTCAAATTATGTCTGACTTATGTCCAGTGGTATCTTTCCATGTCTCTTTTTATATATTTATTATGATCCTTCTGTCTACACTCTAATACCAAGGAATAAGGGTGCAACATGACAGTGAAAACTGTGAGACAATATGAATTTGTCAAATGTCAATAAGATTTTGCTATGCTTTTTATATCATACTCTGCCTGTTGTCCGCAGCTGGCTGGGATTGGCTCCAGCCCCCTGTGACCCCGGTTGGGACTGAGTGGTTTAGAAAATGGATGGATAGATGTTTATATCATGTAGCCCTCTGTTAATCATCTCTGGGCATATTCTTCTGTTATGGCCACTGCTGCACACTATCTGCTTTATAACAAGATTAGATTTTTATATGATTTCAGCATTCGGCAATATTGAAACATATACATATATTGGATTAACCTGCAAACCTTCACACTTAAAAATTTACTTTAACAATATCTTTGCATAGCAAATATTTTATGGTTAAAGTCAAATGAGGTTAAATGAAGTAGATATGGCAAATACACTGTTAAGTGTTAGGCATTTTAAACACACAGTTAAGGTTAGAGAAGGACTGCGGTTATGGTTAATAATTTGGATTTAATTTGATGAATTAGACAAAAACAGAAATTCCTTTCAAGGTTTTTTATCCATAAGCAGTTTTTCAACAGATGGTGCAGAAAATTTATGTCACAATACCTATTGATTTATAAATACACAACTAAATGAGAGGGGATTTTATTTAACAGATTCTGTAGTTTTACATTAATTTAATTATACTGTAGCTGATAAATTCATAGGAGGTTTCCTGCGAAGCCTCAGTTTTCCAGATAATCAATATAAAATTGCAGTGTTAAATTGGCAATTGCTGAAAATGCAAAAAGATATAAAAACAATACTATTGATTAAAAAAAAAAAGAGTATTCACTGAATTATAAAAGGAATAGTTGTTTAAGAACCAAAAAAGCATTTACAGGAGGAAGTGGTCATGTTTACATTTTGAATGTCCTACATGAAAAAATATGAAATTGATCCGTAATGTTATTTAGGGATTTGTAGTTTGTTATCCAATGCAACTATATAATATATAAGAATTGATGGAATGAAAGAGTTCTGCGGTAAAGGAAACACCTCCTGAAATTAAAAACTGTTGTTAAGGTTAATATGATTAACTCTAATTTCCCTATTTACTTGTAACTAGTGCCAAATTAATAACTGTTTCCAGCAAAGTTTTGACAATATAACTTGTCAGTTTCAGTAGAGTTGAAATTGTCCGCAGAATAGCCATCGGGTTATCCAGAGTGACCAAAAGTATTTTTTTAATGCAGTGTTTATTACTTTTATTTTTTATTATGTTTTCGTTTTAGTGAACTGATCCTTTAATCTGCTGTCCTCTTGTGGCATCATATAACATCTTCTTTCACTCTGCTAACTGAGAATACAATGTGTGTATTTGACTCGACATACTGTAGTCATGATTCTCACCTGAGGTTCTAAGACAAAAGCAAGAATAAAAACCATTTCTGTGTGAAAACATTTTGCTACAAAAGAATATAAAAATATTGATTAATTCCTATGAACCAAACTGGCTCTTTTGTGTTTTGTCTTCTATATACACTATGTATTTTATAGTATGGGCCTTGGATTACATTACTAATTGTTTTGACCCTCATCCTTCTATACTGTTCCTGCCCACAAAGTGGGAAGTAGCTAATGGAGTATCCTTCCCTCTGCTGTCTTTGTTTACTGTAGATGAGCCAAGGGTTTTCCTCCTGAGGTCCAGCTGCTGTAATCAGGCCAGTTGCTGCTGACTCACCTCAGTACTGCCCTTCTTACAAATCAGTATGTGCAGTTCCTGGTCAGAGCCCATAATAAGGCCTTAATCTGTTAGGAAAGGTGCTCACAGCAGCATTAATTAAGTAGAATTTCCACATATGCCAAGCACTGCATTAGACAGCAATACTCACGTGCTGAAGGTTCAGGAGTTCCTCCACTGAATGTTGAATGTAGTAAGGTTGTTACTAGGCTTTGTGCTGTCAAGAGAGAGAAGGTATTCAACTCAAGGCAAATATACTCTTTGAAGAAATGTGTGTTTAAACATTATCTGTCAGCAACACTAGTTTTACAACAAAGTAAGTAAATAGCCTTCACAAGTGTAACTGTCACAGCAGTGGCTGGATCATCTGAGCACTGGTGTGGAAGCCGATGAGAAAAACTCACCTTTCCTAATGTGAAAGTATTTTTACCTTTAGCAAAGCTGGCTATTTTTTACATGTTCATGTTACAATGTTTCACTGTGTGCTGCACTGGATGTTTTATTTTATACTTACACTGAATTTCTAATAAGTCTTTCCAAATCTTTCCCAATCTTGTCGTGGTTAGAATGTGATACAGACTAAATTAATTCAGACAAATCATCCCAATTTATATGATCATTTAATATTACAATTATTCTGAACAGAGTAGTAGTTAACTAAGTAATCTGGTAGTTAGGAAACAGAGCAGAAGCACTCCTCCTGCAATGGAATAGATAAAGTAATAAATAAGAAGATTGTCAGAGCGCCAGTCAGTCTTGGTCAGGGGTCACAGTCAGTCGGAGTCCATTGTCCACCCAGCTGGGTCCACAAGCACACTCAAGGCTGCCGCACCATCCTTAATTCTTCTCCTCTCTTAACACAGCTATCCTACCTTTATCTTCTCGCAGTTACACAGCCTTCTATGGCCTGAGCCAGAGACACAGTCTCATGCCAGCTCCACACCCCTTCTTCCGAGCATTGTCTAATAAGTCCAGTACATGAACTTCTAGGTCGCATTGACCTAGCGCACATTTTCTTTGTCTAAACATGAACAGAGCACACAAACCGTTCACATAAGGCTGAAGCTATTTCCATTCCACATTTAAGGAGGAAGTCGCTCTAGATGTTTACCCATAAATTAAACAAGTGGGACACAGCCCAAGATATTTTTGCCTGAGCAAGAGAAGAGAAACAGATCAAGCTTACATAAACACTTAGCTCACCCTTACATAACTATTACAAATAATATCTATATATGAACTACATACTATTCTATTACATATTACCTCTGGATTGGTACCTTGTTTGTTTTTAACCACTACAGTTTTGACCTGACTCTGGACACTCTTCATCTGTGCAGCAGATTTTACACCTGCTTTGCCCAGATAATAACAACAACACTGGTAATTCAGGTGCAGTAGCTACATACATTTCCCTTCCCTTCTCCCAGATTTTGCACTTCTGAACAAGAATGCTTCATACTACATATTGCAGCATTCATCAGTGCTGCTTTCCTTCCATTTTTGTCTTTCCAGCACAAACCACAGAGTTGTCAAGTGCATAAGTGGCACCTAAACATGGTGGTAAAGGCTACATTCGTACTATAAGCTCCACAAGGCTCTACTTACGCAAGAAGTTTAGTCTAATTTGTTAGAAAGCTAATATTTATCAGTTTGTATTAAATACAAAGTACAACTGAGGCATTTTTAGGTATTTGGACATAGACTTATGTGCTCAGACTTGGACTTGAGCTCTGATGACTCGGACTTTGACTCAGACTCTAGCATTGATTACATTCAAACTCAGAAGTTGGAGACTGGGGCTTGGACTTATACATACTTCCTTAGCATATCATAGCCTTCAAACACTCTCCTGGTGTTTTCCCAGCTCTCTTTCTTCTGGACCTTTCTAAGGACTATCAGTCCTCATCCAGTCTCCTGTCAGACAAGCCACAGATTCCCTACATTTTCCCTCCAGCTCTGTTGTTGTCTGCCCCACATTCCTTCCTCCAGCCTGACTGCCACACCTACCACACCTGTCTTCACTCTCCTGTTTTGCTCTCCCAGGAGAAATGTTTGCCCTGGATTATTTGTTGTGCTTACCTGTAGCTTTGTGCTTACTGTAACTAGTGATGGCTGATCAAGGCTTTGTCGAAGCTTCGACACAGTATTCACAAAAATGGTTCATTACTCATGACACAGTGCTCAAGTAGGACATCTAGTGGTCAATAAAATCAAGTGCAATCAAGATGTGTCATTGGTTCATGGATTGTTTGGGATTTGATTCGCCATGCACATTCCTGTTCCACTACACTACATGATTGTATGATTTCAAGCTGACACAGTCAAATATAAAATAAACATGAACTCATGTTGAAGACCATGTTTCTTATTTGGCATGTCTGATTGTAACCCTATATGATCTTCACCTACATTTTGTATTATGAAACATTTAAATGGTGCTGCTACATTCATGAGATGTGCTCTACAAATTCAGACAGATTTTCATTTTCACACAGGACTGGTGTAAATACAGAATATATTATGGGCTTTGGAAAAGTATGTTTTGGGGTTCATTGGTGTGAGGTGTGTTCATTTTATATTGAAAAAAGAAGACTAATAAGAGGATATATATTTTACAGTGTGAAATGTATTATGCATTAACATATCAAAATTAGCATGTGCACATGGAGCCTCACTGTTTAGGATAAACAGAAAAGACTTACCTCAACTTAGTGGTATACAATATTTGTATGAAAAGGTACTACTATCTAATTGGTCAAAAACTGTTGGGGAGAAGCCGTGGTTTACACTTAACTCTCCCGTTATTGGTCCTTTAGTCCATCCATCCTCCAATCGTCCTCTCTGCTCCAATCATCGTGGACAGTGCCCTAGGAAGGGGAAGAATACTTATACTACTTTAATTCCTACATACACACTCACTTTATCCTTTGTTTTCAACTAACTGCTCCATATTACGCATTGCTTTCTGTTTCACTTAATTATAACTGTTCTGCCTGCGTGTGTGTGTGCATAACTGTTCTCCCTTTGAAGCTTTCTCATCTACGTCTAATCTATTTTAATAAACTTGGAGCCTTACCGTACCAA